TATATATATGCCTTTTATGTCTTTGGGGAAGAAATGGAGAAGGAAAGAAACAAATGCCTTGTGCATGTGACATAATTTTAAAATTAATTTATAGTAACAAAATTAACCTGTGCACCTATCCCTTAGCATTATCAGATATCTTTCTATAATTTCACTGGCATGATATAAAGGAAGAAATAGATACCAAATAGAAGGGCTTTTTTTTTTCCTTTTTAACACAGTGGTGTCTTCCTGGAGTAAGTGATATAGGTGGTGTGCATTGTTCAGAGAGAATATGCTATAATTCACTTCACAAGCTAAATAGATAGTGTGAAACAGGCGAGAGGCAGCTGACTGTTAGAGAGATAGAGGCCTGGGGATGAAAATATAAAATGTGGCAAGTCATTTGTTCAAATGTTCGCTGATAAAAACAGTCAAGACAGATTGAAGCCTTGACTTCATTTGACTTATTTTCTTTGGTGATGAAGACCAGGGTATTTCTACTCTCTCAAAACATCTAGAGTTTAAAATAAGGTACCTAGAGGGGCCTTCAGATCAAGATTCATCATTGTAGAGGGAGGATTGGATAGTATTTCCAAATTGAACTGGCGCCTCCCTGAAATATTTCTAAGAAGCATGTTCTCCTCTTGTGACTTACCTACCTAGCCAGCAGCAATAGAAATTTTGCCATTACTAGAAGCACCCTGCATTTACTGAAAAGAACATTTCGTGTGCACTGTGGCAGTGTGGTGTCTTCCAATTCCCTCAAGCTCTGCAGTGGTGTGTGGAGGCTTTTCTTAGGGTAGGCATAGTGGAGTCAAAAAGAGATCTGGCTTTGGAATCCTGAGCACCTGGGCTGGCCACTTAGCTTTTGCTGATCTCAGACAAACAAATCAACCCTATTAGCTTCTGAGCCTTCCTTTGCAAAGTGCCTTCCAGTGTTGGGATTATTCATGATGCTTTTAGTGCAATGTTTGAGACCGAGCATCGGCATCTAGATTTGGAACTCAGTGGAATTATCATATGCCTTTTCTTTGCTCCTGAAGGGCAAGAGCACATGGGCACTTAGTATGGTAAGCATAAGAATATGTTGAACTCTTGGAGCAATTGGGAACTTAGGTGATATGAAGAGTGAAGTGAAAATGAAGTAATAGAGACTAATTTTACCATGACATTTTAGACAGATTCACATTTTTTAAAAGTTCTATTTGCACCTCTAAGTGAAATTAGCTCATGCATCCTATTTTTCTACTATGGAAAACAGAAAATGGTTCCTATATTATTGTTAAAATAAAATATAGTGGTTTCATCTTCTGCTCAGGGATTGATTTTATAAATAAACTTGAAAGTTTAATGTGACTCGATCAAGGTTACTGGGTGAAGCAAGAATTTGGGTTGAGTTGTATGTGAATCTTTACTCTGTGTTTTTCTGTTTTCTCTTATAAACAAATGATTATTTAAAAAAATTGAAAAACCATTAAAAAGGAAAAATAGAAAAACTAACCTAGCACTGTAGTATTGGAATAGCATTTACAAATACTCATGACATATATTGGCAAAACACTCTCAGGTCCAAGCACAAATATTTTCAACCATGGTTGTAACACTATTTAAGTATTTCATATTAATATACTCGCTGAAAAACATTAATTTGAGTGCCTACTTTGTGCTGTGCATTTTTTCAAATGCTAGAAATACAACTTTCATGTCATTTGTTTCTCTAACAGAGCATCATTATTTATAACTATTTATTTTTTAAAAATAATTAGTGGCTTTTGGGGGATTCAGGTAACAGTTTTCTTATATTTTGATATGTTCCAGACTCATTCTGTGAATCAAAGAGAACATGGCAGAGTGGCTGTAATTGCTTCAGAACTGAATGTGACTGTTATCTATCACATGTAATAAAATAGTTTTTCCATGTCACGCATGTGCCTGTGGAAGTGGGTACATAGGCACATGCTCTTTCATCCTGAAAACCTCTTGGAAACTACTTATTGCATGCAAATCTTAATGCTTGACAATGGAAATACAGAAACCATGAAATTACAGGTTTCACTTAGAATAATGAAAAGTAAGAAATACTAATGATTTTTAGTATTCTTTCCAAGAAAAGTCATATGTACATGCTCTTAAAGGTTCTGGGTATCCTTTTGTCATACAGACTACAGTCACTGGGAGAATGTCCCATCCCAATTCATAAGGCCAATGGAATTCTGATTTCAAACTAATCTCACACACTGTGCTAGACATTATATTTTGTCTCTGCAAAAAAGATTTTGACTTGAACTTCAGCTTAGTAATATAAGCATTCATTAAGCCATGAGGAAAGTGGTGGAAATTAGAATTATTGAAGAATTAACTATTTAAGATAGTTTTGGAGAAATCTTGACTGCTTTTTTTCCTTTGCTTGTTTACTATTGTTCTTATATGGAAAAACTTGCTGTTAGAAAGTCACTAGATAAGGAATGGTAGGAAAGAAAAATAATAAGTAAAGCAGTTTATTTGCCTTTTGGTCTAAGACAGTGAAAGTTGGTTGAGGGTGGGGGGCAGAACATAATATTGGTGCTAGAAAGCCTGGAGTATTTATTTTCTACATAATAATTTTCATCATGTAAAGGATTGTGTTTCTCTTTTATCAACTTTACATTCTTGTGTCACCAAGTATTTCTGCTATAACTTGCCTCAGAAGAAAACATGGAAATGCTTATATCTTATTATATTTAACAATGTGTTACAGAAATTTGTTTTCCTTTCAAATAAATGTTGTCCAAAGCATGAGCACATTTGCAAATGACTTCTGATTGCATTTCTAAGCCATTCTTCCCACTTGCAAGACCAGCAAGAAATATTTGACTTTTCCACAGGTGTCAATGGAAAAAAATCAGAAGTATTTGACAGAATTGAACTTTATAGTCGACATTTCTAAATCACATGTATTTATTAAGGGTCACTTAAAGTAGCATGTGGAATTTAGATATACATGACTGGGATTAATTTAAGGTTCCAAGAAAGAGCATAGTTTTATTTATAACTGCATATTTATTCTCTTCTATTGATGAGCAAGGAGGCTGAAAGTCATCTCTCAGCATGGGAAGTATATCTCTAGAGCTTCTAATTTGGGAAGAGTTGACACCTGTGTTGCTGGACTGATAGACATATTGGGGCACATGATGAGATTGATTGGATATCTATTCTGCCTCAAAGGGCAGCAGTAGGTTGGGGAATGAGGAATGTTATGGAATGAAGCTCTCCTTCCACTCAACTACCTTTTAAGCTCAATGAAGCTGACCCAATTGAGTAGAAAAGTTGGCCTGAGCTTCTACTTGCATTTTCATGTCTGGGTTATGGAGGAATATAAGCAAGTCCCTCAGCATGCCAGAGGCAAAAATGATTGGTGAAAGTCCACTTATGTCTGCCTCCCAGGAGTGCTTCCTCTAAAATGGATCGATAGGTACACATTTCTGAAAGCTCAACCAGTCTTTCCTCTGCCTATCTACATGCAGTATCCAGGAAAATGTGAGCATTGTTTTTTAAAGGGTATTGATTGTGCAAGCTTCAGTCGAATCAGGCAATCTTGAATTGGAATGATTGTGCCAATAGCCATCAGGAAAGGGTCCTTCTAACCTGGCTTGTGTTTCTTTCAGATTCACACTCAGATGACTTTGACCCTGCTTCCACCAAGAGCAAGTATGACTCTCTGGATTTTGATAGTTTACTGAAAGAAGCTCAGAGAAGCTTGCGCAGGTAACATGTTCCCTGGCCGAAGATGACAGAGATGGTGAATACCTCACGGACAGCGTGTCCTTCCTGGACAGAGTATTGCAAGTCATACTTAGGAAGTTCTCCTACTCTACACTCTCTGTACAAAACAAAACAAAACAACAACAACACAACAATACAGCAACAAACAACAACAACAATGGTTTACATGAACACAGCTGCTGAAGAGGCAAGAGACAGAATGATATCCAGTAAGCACTTGTTTAATCACGGGTGTCGGCTTTGCTTTCCCTGGAGTCTCTTGGTGACAGTGTGTGTGTGTGTGTGTGTGTGTGTGTGTGTGTGAGTGTGTGTGTGTGTACGTGTGTGTGTATGAGTGTGTGTGTGAAGACTGGGGCCATCTGATCAGAATGTGCAAGGGCAAACCATTTCAAATGGCAGCAGTTCCACGAAGACACACTTAAAACCTAGAACTTCAAAATGTTCATATTCTATTCAAATGGAAAATTTTATATATATATATATATATATATGGAAAGAAAACTAACCAACCAGAAATCACCCTAAAATGACAACTGCTGATGTGCAGGCATCAGCCTCCTACTCTGATTTTTAAGAAAGTGCAAAATCAACTTGAAGCAAGCTTTCTCTCATAGCATTAATGATTATCTGACAATCCTGAAGAAACCACAGGTTCCGTAGAACTAATATCCTGTCCTCTGTCTCTGTCTTTCTGTCTGTGTCTTTGTCTCTCTGTCTCTGTCTCTCTGTTTCTCTTTCTGTGTGTCTCTGTCTGTCTGTCTGTCTGTCTGTCTGTCTGTCTGTCTGTCTCTCCCTCCCTCCCTCCCTCCCTCCCTCCCTCCCTTCCTCCCTTCTTCCCTCCCTCCCTCTCTTATTTTCCTTTTGCCATGGAATCTGGGTGGGAGAATATATTGTAGGCAGTAAGATGCTAAACTTTCCTAACATTTTGAAGTTTCTGTAGTTGATCTTTTGTCCTGACACCCATATAAATGTCCAAGATGTTGACTTTCCACTGCAAATTTTAACAGCCTTGTCAATGGTCAAGCGTGCAGCTTGCTGGACAATTCTTTCTGAGGAGCGGACGCGGTGTTACATTGCTAATGAGAGTTGAATAGAACTCTCTGGATGTGTTCTGATAGTGTAATTGCTACATTCTCTGATGTAGTTGAGTATTTACAGATGTTAAATGGAGTATTTTTATTTTATGTACATATGATACAACAATGTTCTTTTTTGTTATAGCTATGCACTGTAAATGCAGCCTTCTTTTCAAAACTGCTAAATTTTTCTTAATCAAGAATATTCAAATGTAATTATGAGGTGAAACAATTATTGTACACTAACATATTTAGAAGCTGAACTTACTGCTTATATATATTTGATTGTAAAAAAACAAAACAAAACAAAACAAAAGACCGTGTGTGTATCCGTTGAGTGCAACTACAACCAAATGATGCTTTACGCACTTCCATCCCTTCTTAGGTGAGCTTTGATCGAAGCATCTTGTCTGAAAATATCCTAGTCCCCTAAAGGTATTAACCACTTCTGCGATATTTTTCCACATTTTCTTGTTGCTTGTTTTTCTTTGAAGTTTTATACACTGGATTTGTTAGGGGAATGAAATTTTCTCATCTAAAATTTTTCTAGAAGATATCATGATTTTATGTAAAGTCTCTCAATGGGTAACCATTAAGAAATGTTTTTATTTTCTCTATCAACAGTAGTTTTGAAACTAGAGTTCAAAAAAATCTTTTTAAAATGCTGTTTCGTTTTAATTTTTGTGATTTTAATTTGATACAAAATGCTGAGGTAATAATTACAGTATGATTTTTACAATAATTAATGTGTGTCTGAAGACTTATCTTTGAAGCCAGTATCTCTTTCCCTTGGCAGAGTATGATGATGGTATTTATCTGTATTTTTTACAGTTATGCATCCTGTATAAATACTGATATTTCATTCCTTTGTTTACTAAAGAGACATATTTATCAGTTGCAGATAGCCTATTTATTATAAATTATGAGATGATGAAAATAATAAAGCCAGTGGAGATTTTCTACCTAGGATGCATGGCGATTGTCAGGGTGGAGTGTAAGTGCTTCCTTTTGGAAACTCAGCTTTTGCAGAAGCAGTGTTCCCATTGCACTAGCATGGCCTCTGATGTGACCATGACGTTGTTCTTGATGACATTGCTTCTGCTAAATTCAATTAAAAAAAAAAAAAAAAACTTCAGAAAAAACCCCTGCATTCTGAGCATCAGGATTTCATCTGAGTGTGGAGTCCCATGAATGCAATTCACTGAAGTTTGGAGTGTGTATTCAAGTTACTCCATTGAGATTTGATTCCTGTTTGACTGACGTGACTTTTCCGGAAGACGTGATATACCTACTACTTAATTGTTCTTTTCCTTTCTCTCACTCAACATGATCTTTTTGAATCGGTTTCACCCCCAGGCCAGTGCAGCTAATTTTGAGAGCTGCATTCATTTATCACCAGCATATTGTGTTCTGAGTGAATCCACTGTCTGTTCTGTCGGATGCTTGCTTGAGTTTTTGGCTTCTTATTTCTAAGTAGATAGAAAGCAATAAAAATACTATGAAATAAAAGAACTTGTTCACAGGTTCTGCGTTACAACAGTAACACATCTTTAATCCGCCTAATTCTCGTTGTTCTGTAGGTTAAATGCAGGTACTTTAACTCTTTGTGAACGCCAAACTAAAGTTTACAGTCTTTCTTTCTGAATTTTGAGTATCTTCTGTTGTAGAATAAAAGACTATTAAGAGCAATAAATTATTTTTAAGAAATCAATATTTAGTAAATCCTATTATGTGTTCAAGGATCAGATGCGTTCTCTATTTTGCCTTTAAATTTTTGTGATCCAATCTTAAATACATTCTCCTTTTTGACCTGGATTGTTGACATGAGTGAACTACTTGGTTCCTTTTCTTATCAAAAGACAACACTACGGACTCCATGTTTCAGATTACTTTATCCCCCTGTGGCCTAACAAATGTTGTTACCATGAAGATAGGTTTCTGCCATGAACTTCGAATCTCATCTACAGCTAGTGAAGCTTTTGTATCTTATGCAGACACTGTGGGTAGCCCATCAAAATGTAAGATATGTTCCTGCTTTTTAAAAAACAATTGGGAGAGAATATTTCAAATGAGCACATGCCCCCCCCATCATCACTGGAGGCAAATTTCAGCATAGATCTGTAGGATTTTTAGATGACCATGGGCCATTGCCTTCATGCTGTGGTAAGTACCACATCTACAATTTTGGTAATCGAATTGGTGCTTTAGAAATGTGGGGTTTTTAAAGAGCTGTAGCAGAATAATTCTTCCAATACAACAAAATCAATTTTTGCTAAATGACTCTGAGAACAACGGTTGGGCTGTCAACTTTCAAAACAGCAGAGAGGGAACTTTGCACTACTGGGGTATGATGTTTGGGTCAGTTGAAAAAAGGAAACCTTTTCATGCCTTTAGATGTGAGCTTACAGTAGGTAATGATTATGTGTCCTTTTTCGATGGCTGTAATGAGAACTTCAATCACTGTAGTCTAAGACCTGATCTATAGATGACCTAGAATAGCCATGTAATATAATGTGATGATTCTAAATCTGTACCTATGTGAAAGACATTTTCAATAATGTGAACTGCTGATTTGCTGGAGCTACTTTAAGATTTGTAGGTGAAAGTGTAATACTGTTGGTTGAACTATGCTGAAGAGGGAAAGTGAGAGATTAGTGGAGCCCTTGCCGGGCTTTTTTTCCACCTGCCAATTCTACATGTATTGTTGTGGTTTTATTCATTGTATGAAAATTCCTGTGATTTTTTTTTAAATGTGCAGTACACATCAGCCTCACTGAGCTAATAAAGGGAAACGAATGTTTCAAATCTACCTCTGCTTTTCTTATTTATCGTAATCAAACTGCTGGCATATTTCTCAGATCAGAACATATCACTTGCTTGTTACTATTCCATTTCCTCTCTGGCTTTTCTCTCTCTCCCCCTTTCTTCCTGCTTTTCCATATTCATGGATGCAGTTCAGCTCTAAGGAAATATGCACCTCCCGTGTTTTACTTATCTTCTTTCAATCCATAAAGGCAGACACAGTAATTTCTATAATGAACGTTCAGAGGTGAAAAGTGATGTGGGACGTCATCAAATGGTTTAGTTCTATTTTTGGACTTAACCCTAGAAAATGTGTATTTTCATGTAGAAACTATTGCCCTAGGGAGAAATCTGCTAAGTATTCCGAGGAAGAGATGGACTGGATGTTTCTCAAAGATGTGTAACGGGATGTAGTTCCTGATCTTGTGTCATCAGGTTACGTATGGGGTGAGCTGATCTGGGTGGCACCTCTCCCTGTCAGGTCATCCATCCTGCTTGGTGGGTGGGGCTGGTTCTAACGATGGAGAATGAGTGCTTAGCATTGCTCTCTCCCCTGATTTCAGGTGGTCATTCCCACTCTTGGTTATTCGTATTTCAAGACACAGAATAAAACTGTTGCTGGGGAAGGGTGACTGAATATGTCACGCTTTCCCTTCCAATTTCCTATGGAGAAAAGAAGATTTGTAAATATTGAAAATATTATAATGCTATTAATAGTGCACTTAAATCTGCCAAATAGCATCACTTTTTGCTTTATAGCAATAGTAAGATTTGTCAATTATTTCATAAATATAAAAAGTACAAAAGTACTATTTTGTCATGGAAATAGTGCATCATACACAACTACGAACAGTAAGATCCCAGGTGCATGCAGACAAGGTAGATCCTAAATTGTCTTCCACTTTTGCTTAAATTGCATACAGTGATTTTCTGGTTTTTCCCAGAAGAAGCAAGGATATTAAACACATGTAACTTATCCATAAAGGGTTAACTTTTTACTCTAATAAATATTTTGAAGGAAAAGAGAAAAAATATGTAGGATTTGATGACGTGAAAGTAGCCACTCCTTTGACACTGGAACATATCTATGAGAGAAAAAGATTTATTTCATGTTGTTCTCAAACATCAAATCACTTCTCTCCTTGCTATTGCTAATGTCAAAAATAACTATTGAAACCAAAATTAAGTGAACACTGGATATGAATAGTTTATTTATATAGTGCTTGTCTCATTTCAATGGTCCTCCAAGCTAAATCTCTCTGAGCTGTATATAATGTGGTATTAAGTTGAAATTCTTTTTCGGCATTGCTAGCTCTCTTTTTTTGTAGGATTATTTAGCTAATCATTAGATGTAATTTACAGCCCTAATAACATTATTATACTCATTTGACAGTAGTGCTCCTAGATACACTGTTATAACTCAGTTTTAATTATAGGATATTTTAACCGAAGCATATTTTTTCAATATTCATATTAATTGCATATTTGGCAATTCTTGCTGTTCCTTGTTTTCAAACGCACTATACCCACTATAAATCAATCTTTGTAATCTATCAAACAGCAAAGACTAATAAAGAAGGTCACAATTCATAGAAGAGTTCCTTGGAGGTTTGTAACATCATGATTTAAATCTCAGAAAGATTTAATCAAACGCTGAATTAATCCCTGAAGGAAAAGATGCTGTACAGATTCCATTGATGGGCACAAAGCAGCCTGTATCTTTTCACTTGTCTCTGTTAATGTGTTGGGGAAAAAGAACCTAATTTTTCTCTGAAGAGGAAAAAATGATTTCCTTGATTGGGGAAGGATAGCATGCAGTAACCTTCCTGCTGTACTCTCTGCCGTCTATGGCCAGTTCTTTCCTATGTAC